TTAATTCTTTGATTGATTTGATAACTGTGCTGGTACTCTGTTTCATGCAGTGCATTGTGGGTAATCTGAAAAAAAAAAAGTAAGTTATAATTCTAGCAGCATAGAACTGGCACAGGTACATGTTGCCATAAAAATGTTACATTAAAGTGAGGTAAAGTGACTGACAGAAGATGCTCTACTCACTCAGATAAGTTCAGGTCCAGTTTGTTTCCAGAGCTCATATATGCCATGGGAATAAATCATCATCTGAATAGGGGAGAAGAGAAGACAGTATGACTGTGGACCACCTGTTGTCTTTAATATCTATTAGCTGTCTTACAGTATGATCAAATGCTTTACCTTGAAATATCTATGATCTTAAGGTAAGCCTTGAACAGGGCAAAGGTGCCTTCTTGGCAATTTTCCATTCAAATAATTTCCCGTTCTTTACCTCTGTAAAAACAGTACATTGCACTATGTTGCATTATTATGGATCTTATGTAGTGTTTAATTCTCCCACATGGTACTAGTGAACTGTACCATGGAGGAAAAACTGCCTTCAAATTATTAGACTATGAAGTAGCAGGTGTGCTGTTTATCATGATATATCAGTATCAAAAACTGTATAAGCTTGTTGACCCATGTCAATACTGACTAGCTGGCCAGTGAAAAGACTGTTACTGGGAAATAGGTTTGCCATTCATCAGCTGTGCAGTTACTAGTTACTCAAGTTACTAGTTATTGAAGTTATTAGTTATTCAAGACACTGTCAACTAAGAGCTATAGTTCAGCATGTTAAAACCCCTATTGCCACTAATATTCAGAGTGATTAGATGGCTCAGGAAACAGAACCATGACCTCCAGAAAATGAAGGAAAACACAGGCTATGTCTATATGCATGACAGCTGACATAAGTGCAATCCACAGGTCCCTTGACAAAATGCAGAACACATTGCAAAACATTTCCATAGGGGTATGCCAATGCAGCAGTGGCAATGAAGTGTATTTAGCACCGATGTTCATGCCATGCAAGTCAACCAGTGGAATTAGACTGCACTCCACCAATAATTTGATTACGTCATTGAGGACACAGATGGATGAGGACACAATGTACAGTTTATCCCTTCTCTGGAGACTTGAAGTGTGAATGAGATCACTGATTACATCCAGACTAGAGACACTGAGGCAGAAGCGCAGTGTAAACATCTGCAGACTGGAAAGGTCTAGGCAACATATTTCTGTGTCTGAAACCGGGGTCCATTATCCAGAACTGACTTCTTATTTGGTAGGCAAATAAGGCTGGCTGCCAGGTGATCAGTTGCATGTCCTTAAGCAGTAAGCTCTTTAAAAGTGTTTTTTTCTGTGTTTTGACCCTTTGTGTTTCGAAATATTTCATTTTCAGAGACTGCTAATTCTTTAATTTAAAAAAGTTTATATGCAGATATTTCATTCATTGACCTTGTGTTCATTATCATTACTCCTGTTTAAAGCATAGGGAGAAGGAAGCATAGAGAGAAATGACTTGATATTGGTTCCCCAAAAGCCAGAAACAATGCCAGGAACAGAACCAGGTCATCTGCCTTGCTGACCAGGCCTCACTGCCTCCTGCATGGGGAAACTGAAAGGGAACAGAAAGAAAAAGACAACCTTAGTAAAGTAACAAATTTGAACTGCCAACTGGAGGTTTAGGGACAGCACAAAGCTACCAGAGTCAAAGGAAATTATTTTATGCTTGAATTTCTTTTTAGGCAAGGATGTAAAACCAAATCACCTACATATGAGAAAAGCTTGATTTCACTGTTATACAGCTAGACTGTCACTTTATGTGACAAAGTAGTTCAACATACTATAGTAGCTTCACTGAGGTATGGGGTTTCTTGGCTGTATGGAAGAAATACCCAGTCAGAGTGTGTGCGTGTGTGTGTGTGTGTGTGTGTGTGTGTGTGTCTGTGTGCGTGTGAGAGAGAGAGACTTCGGAATAAAGCGCCCTCCTGTAAGACGAATTAGGTGACCGATGGAGAGGAGAAGAATCCTACCTAACAGTTAGGCAACACTGGATCTCAAATACTACACATAAACGTAAATTTCTGCATATGGTGACTGACTGCTAGCTTTGGAAAGTACTGCTAAAGTCTCCGAGATGGCCTGAAATGAAGCAAAATGAAAGGCAGAAAGAAAGCAGTATGACCTGAGGTGCAGAAGAGGCTTGAGGAAAGAAGAGAGCACTCTTTAAGGAGTAATGAGGGGCAGAAATACCCTGAAAAGTCCAAGCGTCTTCAAAATTTGTCATTTGCCCACACATATAAAGCTCAGAATAGCAACAAGGTCTAAACTGAACTCAAGAATGCTCAGCTTTTTTCTACAAAATTGTGTCTTGCCTGTACAGTTTTAAATGTTTTGGTATTTTTGGTAACTAACTATAATTAGCAATTGCAGAATTCACTGAAATTTAGGCAGCAAGAAGAAGTTACAAAATAACTATAAACAACTTCCTTTGTGCACTGTTCCCCTACAACTCCCTGGAAGGAAAAAGTCAAAACAAAGCAGAGGTGGTGCAGAAAACAGAATGATGGAAACATCCAGTTCCCGTAGACTTTCTACTCAAGATACACATGTTCAACTGTGTGCGGAATGCAAATAAGAGAGTAACTGTATCGCCTACCACCTAGAACAGCACAGCAACTGATGTGTGCTACCGACAAACAGAATTGTTCTCTTTTTCCATTTATGTTACCCATCACATAAACGTTGTTTTACAGAGCTAGTAGCCAAATACAAGTAGGCAAAATGGCATAATCCACCTTTTAAGTGTGCCCATTCTATTTTAGAAGTGCTTAGAGCAACAAGCCCTATAGTTCACTTGAATTTATCATTTGGTCCATCACATGATCTATATGGGACTTTCACTATGCTGGCCCTTGAACACATACAAAACAGTGCAAGAAATTCCAAATTCCACTGAAGAAAGATAAAACGTTTTAGTAGCTGTTTTTCCCCCTTTTTTTCTCCCTTCTTGTCGTGGCAGCTGTTTGAAACTCATAAAGTTGAACTCTTAGAGAAAATGTTGAATTGTAATGGACAGAAAACGAAAAGGTACATCTTTCTTCCATTTGATTTCACCTACACATGTGAATTTGTGCATGTATTCATCCACAGAAAATCAAGCATGCGAAATTTCAGGTCAGTCAGCATTTCAACTAGCAAATTTTCAGCGTTTGCACTCCTTGGGACATCTATCATGTAAGTAACTGAGTGCTGTGATTACACTAAAAAATTAAGGTCCTGCAACTGTATCCATTCAGGAACAAGGATCTGCCAGCAGGGACTCAACTTCAGTATTCATCCCTTAGACTGATTTTCTTTTAAAGATTATGTCCTTTCCTCTCAGTTTCAATTTAATTCTTTAGGGTATAAAAGGGAGTCTCTCTTTTCTAGTTAAGAATGCAACAGTTTTCCTAAACTTTGCCTTCTGGTACATTGCTTTACTTCTTGTACCACGTAATGTACTTTATTGGAAATCTAAATGGCATTATATGAGACGTGGAACCAATCAGCCCTGTCCTTTTTCATTAGTCTAGCTGTCTGAATATTGAGAAAGTGAAAATTTGAAGGTTTCTCTAATAGTCTGCCCCAAAAAAAAAAAGTTTGAGATAAATTTCCTCATAACCCATATCAAAAGGAAGTATCCTGAGAAGTATTATTGACTTATTTCAGAAAATATACTTCTTAACCCCTGCAGTGTTACAGGCATTTTTATATTGCTTATGTATTTTTATTTTTGATTTCCTTCAGGGTAAATACAAAGAAATATGCAACTTTATTTCACATTCTGTTTTGATTAAAAAAAAATGAAAATTTAATTTTAAGGAAAGATGAAGCTATTGACAATACACAATATATGTATGAGAGACATGAGGAAAAGTAGAGTAAAAGCTTTTCACAACCCTTTTTTCTTTCAGCAAGCAGTTATACTTGTAAAAATATTTACAAGTTTATTAAATTGTAAGAAAAGCTAACAGAGACAATTACATAAAAATGCCAATAATAAAAAAGTTGACTGAGCCCTTAAAAATGTCAGGGTTCAATTTTTTAAAAATATAATACTTACCATAATTAAGACTAAAAAGAAAGAGAGTTGTGCCAGTTTCCCCTTTTGAACTCTAAAAAAATACATATCGCCTTTGAAGTAGTAAATACTTTTTCAGTTATATTGTGCTGCCTTCGCTTACGTGTGATCACACATTATCTTCATAAAATATTCGACAGGAGTGCCTTCTGAGGGGAGATGTTATTCAAGGTGGGTCAATGTTAATTAACTGGTCCTGTAGGGGTAGGAGGAAAGCCTCTGGATTGTTAACACCAGTCTGTATAGGAGATTTTGTTTTTAATTTCAACCTAAACACCTGGATGCAATTCAGTATTACATTTCTGTTTATCAAGAAATTACAAATGTAAAATCAACACTCTTATGTTTAAAGGACGTACTGGACAAACACAGTTCAGAAGACAGAGCTGTTGTGCCAGAAACTGATACAATTGCCTTGGCTGTAGTTGCATTTTAGAGAGATTAATTTATAAAATAAAACGACCAAATGTAACATAACTTCAGAAAATTCTTAGATGAAAGGAAGATTCTCCTAAATACTGATCTCACAGCTGTGAAATTTTAAATCAAAATATTAATGGCAATGCATATTCTTTCATGATTTGAAAAATATCCAAGAAAAAGATCAAAGCCTCCATTTAATTTTTAATATGCACTTCAAAATTTCATGATTTGTATTTCTAACCACATTACCACCTGTTACATATAATAAAAAACTCTACTTGTACTTTCACGTGTATTTGTACACAAATCATTATTTCATTACCTCATTGCATTACACTGATATTTTTGTCTATACACTTTAAAATGAATATAGATTTTAAAAGTAGCTCCTAGCTTAATTTTCCAAATGCACACTTGGCCTATTATCTCTCTTACTATTTACAAGCATTACAAAAACATGTGCATTAAAGACAAACATATTGCTTCAGCTCACTCATCAATGTTTCACAAAAATCTAAATCTCCAGATATTTCTGAATGGCTGATACTTCAGTAAAAGGGGCTTTTTTCCTACCTGCCTCTTCTATCCCAGAATTCTCAAAATTAAGTAATAAACACAGCTCGAGCCTGCTGCTTGCAATATAAAAGCTGATTACCAGGAAGAACTCAAAGAAAAGAAATTTATTCAGACTGAGAGCATTAAAAGCAATTCAGACTTTCTGGATTACATCACTGGAAGCAGCATGTAATTTGTTCCAATTGATGTCATTTGCTGACATAAAGCCATTATTTTACAAAGCACCTTAGCATATTTGTACTTTCTTTCCTCCTCAATGCTCCGATTAGACTTACTTGCACCTGACACATCAAACGCACAGGGAAGACAACACAAAAAATCAAGTCTGACAAATATATTTTTGCCTAAATCAAACTAACACATGAAATGCTACAACATACGTATTTTTAAGCATCCCTTTGTAAGTGAAAATGTGAAAAGAATTGTCCACATTCTGTTCATACAATGACCTCGGATAACTTAGATCTGTTCTTGTGGGATTTGCAACTCTTTTCCTGAATGGATTCAAGATGAGGTAATGCCATTCAAAAGGGGCTGAGCAGTGAAATGTTACATGTAGAACTCAAATATCCTGGCCTCAGCTCTAACCTCTGTAATTATATTTAACTGGGTCAATGGAATTTCTGAACTTCCACTACTTGCTTCTTTGCTTCTAGAGTTAAAAAGTGCCAGGTTCATACGGATAATATATTAATAGGCAATATTTCAAATTAATACTAGAATAACAGTCAACTGCAAGAGATACAGATACGTGCAGTTGACACATAGTGAATTATAATTTTGCTGCTCATCTGCAGTATGACTGGTAAACTGCTGCGTGATACCCACTGTGCTTTCCTTAGTGTATTATGGAAAGGCTAGGCCCTTATTGTTTCACCACGTCGGTCAAATAGCTACCCAACTGCAAGTGCTGTTTTTAATTACCAAGTGATGTTCCCCTTTAAAAATGCTTTAAGCAAAAGAATCCATATGAAACAACATCAGATAGTAACTTGTTTAAAATGATCCTGGGGTCAATTAAAATCAAGCAACATCACTGTATGTCTTTAGAACTGAATGAAGTTGTAAAAAAAAATATTTTGTATCATTTGATCTGTCAAAAAGAATATTTGGCACTAGAAAATCTCTAAAATAATAGTTGCAGAGTCAATGCAAGTGGCAATATAACATATGCTCATCTTTCACATGTATCAAATAAAATAGAGGGGTTTGGTTATCTGTTTTAAGCTATTTACCCCACAAATACATCCTTCTAAGCTTCTAAAACCTCAAAACATTGAGCTCTCAATAAGCAAAATTCAACAGAATATGATGTTGATCCATATTAGGCAAGATATCTATGAACATCTTATACAGACACATAGATATACATAGATATATAGGCAGATAGATACATATAAGTTTCCTACTCTCTTGTTTTCTTTGCACAAAACAACACAGAAAATCACCAGCTAACAAGTAGAAGGCTATACAATGCAAACTTCAAAGGTTAAAAACAATTTTAGCCTTCAGTTTATCTCTAGCAGAGTTCTTCTAATTTTAAATGCATACGTCTTGTTTCTAAAAAAAAAAAAAAAGGACAAATTCAGAAAGAACAAAAGAATTAATAAAATTTCTTCCTTACCTTTTTCATCCTTGGTATGTCATTTACATTTATCGTCTGTGTTTCAAATCCTGTTTTGAAACAATTTTTTTAAACTTAGTTTTAGAAGGGCATACTACAAATGACAAAATTAGCACAAATAACTGTCTTTGCACACAGACACCATGAAAAAAGGCATACACTTACGGTTACAATCTTGTGTCTTCTTTAATAAGAACAGAAGTTTGTAATAGACAGCATAAAGCATGTAGAACAGGGATAGTACTGCATATTCTCTCTAAAGTGCAGATAGTACTCAAGCAGATTTTAAGATAAAGATGAAAATTAAGCCTCATTCACTCCTCCCTGTTCCTCTTTTGGGAACATACATACACAAAAAGACAACAACCAAAGAAAAAGAAACACCAAAACCCAAACATATTCATCGTATATAAGTTATATGCATTTGATAACCCAGTGATAACACTGGGCTATCAAATGCTAATTATCTAAAGTATGTGCAGACAGAAGAAGCAGCTTAAAGACATTATTTTTCTGAAGTAGGCATAAGTTGACAGCCCTAATTAAAATTAATACTTATACACTCTCCTCTGCTATAATGATTTTTTCAAGAGGACAACAGAATTAATAATTCTGCATGTTATATGACTAGTGAAATGTCAAAGTTTTATTAAAAATAAAACAGAAGTGTAAATATTCAGAAATAACCTTTTTTAAAACATTCCACTGGAAATCAGTGTTTACAGAAGTACAGAGGAATTCTTTGCAGTCCAAGGTTATATATCACAACTTAGCAAGCCTGGGACATTCCCCCTTTCCAATTAAACCTTAACTTACCTTGCATAGTCAAAAACAGCAAGTGAAACTAAGCTGTTAGAAATCTGAGTTCTTTTGTCCACTATCTCTTATTTTATGTGCCTATTTTTCCATTCTGCTGCCATCTGCTGGCAGCGGATTTATTCTGCAAAACATCAGACAGCACTTGATAGTCTCCTGTCGTATCGCTTTGCACTGTTACAGTATGAACCTTATTTTCCATGTTCCATGGCCAACCAATCCAGTACCGTTACACTTCCAGGTCAAAAATTCTGAATATCATCCGACTGTATTTACAGGTCAACATGTCTTTTTCTGGCTCTGAAAAAGCATGCCTCTAAAACGTCATGCATAAAAACGCAGCATTTAATATTTGTATCTTTTAACCTATTACAACTTTTGTTTCAGGACATTGAAACTTTAACAATATTTTTAAGCACTGGGTAAAACTTTCTGAATCTTTTATTTGTTCTTGTCAAAGTACAATATTGCATCCTGAAGTTTATATGCAACCACTTCCTCTTGAGGTTTTTGTGCATTTTCTGATAAAATTCACAAGAGCGGTAAAATATGATCGTGTGACCTAAGAGCATAATAAATAAAATGGAATGTAATATAATTTCACAAAAGTAAGCTTAAGAAGTGGTGCAAGGTGCAAGTTTTTTATGCTAATTTGTGTTTAATTAACATTCTACTTTAAGAAAGTAATGATAAAATATTTTATGTCTATTTTAGTCTACTAAATTATAAAATATTAAGCTTTAACAATAGATAAAGCAAGAGCAATGCAAAAAAAAAAAAAAGATAATGTTTTACGTAGGCCAAACATTTTGAAATAGCATTTTTTTTTTTTTTAAAGAAAAGAAGCACCTTCCAATGAGAAAAAATAAGCATTCTTACACTGAAAACTTATGGCCATTAGCTCTGGGTTATAGCTCACTAGTAATAGCAGGTGGCCCTATTACTTTTACAAAAGTTACAGAAAGACAGGGACAACCACAAAAAAAAAAAACACAAACAAAAATTATTTTCAAGCTTCATGAAGACAACTTTTGTTCTATCACCTTGCCTGTAGAGGAACATCTCAAATCTTACTATAGAAGTGAGACACTTTTTAATAACCACTAGCTAAAAGTTCAATCTATCCTAAGGGTTACACATAAGTTGCTCTTCAAGGAGCTTGCATGTATTTATCTAGCTTGGGTTTTGCTTTTTCAATGTCAGGCCTGTCCTGTAGCAACAAGATCTAAACTCTGCAGACATCAAGTTCTTTCTTTCTCTTCTCAAACTACAGATGCACGTAAATGAACTGCCATGCTTAGTAACGTAAAAATAATCTAGTAGTTTTAAGGCACCAAACTAGCTTTTCCCTGGTCTCACCAGTCTGGCCGAGCACACGAGAGACTAAGTTCTCCCATGCTTCCAATACCACAATGAGGCAACAGCTATTTCAGAACTTTCTCCAGTTAAAATCCACAAAAGCCTCTGTTACCCAAGTGTTCCCCTCTCACACAAAAGAACTGAAGGGATCCAAAAACTGGTAGATGTTTACACAACTGGAGCATCCTTACAGCTTTATACCCAAAACAAAACAGACGTTCTGTGACTTCTTCCAATTCTGCCATTCCCTTAGCTCTTTCCACCCCCTCGTACTCACTGAATGACATGAGCATGAGCGCACCAAAGCGCTCTGGCTGCCTCAGCCGAGGAAACAGCGTTCCCCTAAAAAGTCAGAAGGCTCTTCAGAAAAGAGTCCTCAAAAGGCAGAGGAGGGCCTGCGTGAGCTGTCAGGCTGATACAACCTTGGCTGATACAGACCACCTCTAAATCTTGAGTGCATCGACTAACCTGAAAGATCAAATAAAGCGGAAATGAAAAACCACCAGTGCCATGTGAGCACAACTTCTTTATCAGCACCAATGAATATATTTTACTCCCATCCTACTTTTTGTGAAAACTTTGTGTATGTGCGCACGTCTCTGTTTACATGTAAGGTGGAAAGTGTAGAGTGTAAAACATGTCAAGTGTAAAACAGGTAGAAGTAGATACATATATGTTAACAGATACACATTTAGATATGTGAGGTTTATTGCTTGGGTCACTAACAAAACTCAGCTCACAGAAGAAAGTGGGAATGTCTAACGGTACAGCCAGCCAGCCTGTGCTGGGGGAAAAAAGGACAACATGATAAATAGTAAGCAAAGAACTTTAGTGACATTGTGAGGTACATTACGAACAAGAGCTGTAATTTTCAAAAGTACTTAACAGCAACAGGATTTGGACAATTTGCTCTTTGAAAAGTTCATGTAAAACAGTCTGTGCTGATGCACAGAAGACAGGGAAAATGCAGACGAAAGACGACGTACAGTTATTAATGAGAAAACTGTATCACAACTCATAGCAAAGTCTTTATTACAACCACAGGTATGTTAACAGATTTTAGATAAAAGAATTTAAGAGAAAGAACGCTTAGTATTTCATCTTGTTAAATGTTTGCGCATTTCTGTAAGAAGTCATCCTAGTCCATTCAAAGTACTTCAGTACTTAGTGAACACTGCCCGACAAATATCTCTAAACAAAGTCAAGTCTTGATTAAAGGAAGGACTGCCATCAAGTTTGCAGGGCTTTGGGACAAGCTTTTGAAAAAGGATATGAAAATAAAAACAATGAACCAGAAAAAGACTCAGAAAGCATTGTTTTGAGTGCATTTACAGTCTTGGAGACTAGCTATTTAATATAGTATTTAAATTTATTTTAATTAATTTTAATTGTAGTTGTTCCATTTTACTTTTTTGGAAATTTAACCACCTGCAGGACTAAACAAGAGAATATCCTTTTTCCCTTTCTACACATAACTCAAATCAAACGTACAATTTGTAGGAGGAGCTTATACAACATGCAGACAGCATAACACAAAAAAAATTAGTAAATTCATATGATTACTGGACGGAAAACATCCTATCATCTTCATAGGAAAATAAACTCAAGATTCCTTGACTTTACTGCAGTGAATACTGTCAGGATTTCTTCTTGAACCCTTACAAAAAAGTATTAATCCAGTAAGATATTAGGGTTACATATCATATAAATATAAATACACCTATTATATAACTAAATAGATATGCTAAAACTTCCTTCAAGGACATTCTGAACCACCTTTCAAGAATAACTAATCTTGCTTTCAAGACAAACATTGCAAAATATTCAAATCTGGAAACACCAAACATACGCATGCAAGAGTACACAAACACATAAATAAGGACACAAATCCTTTCCCATATTTTAGTTAATAAGATTATTAAGAGCTAGCCCAGAAGAGAGTGTTTTCTAGGTATCAGCATACAACTGACAGGTTCACATGAAGCATCTCACTATACTTCAAAATTCCGTCGTGTTCAGTACTGAGACAAGTAGCTTTCTAAACTGGAGAAGGGTTTACACAGACCAGATGCAACCATAAAAATTCAAGCCACTTGAACCTTAATAAAATACACAGTAATGAAAATGCTGTAAAACAGATACTAAAAACATAAAATCTTAACAAGCTTAATCACAATGAAACAGGGTCAAAGCCACTACGTCCCGCCATCATTTGCAGAAAGCCAGCAAATACCAGATGTATTTTGGTTTGGGCCAGGGGGAGGACAAAATTAACTATTTTGCGTATTGTAACAATCTACAAGTGATACAGAGACAAACATATATAGGGCATTTAATATTTCACTAACTTGTGAAGTTCCAGTTTTGTACTTAAATTTGTTCAGCTAAAACTCACAATCTGTCCTGCAACAGAGTCATCTGGTATGTGTTAATAATACACAAACTGAAGGACAGCTGACCCTTTCTTTAATTTTATTTTCTGAAGAACTTCACAAAACTCTCCTGAAACAAGCAGTTTCAGTTTAATGCAGGTCTATAAAAGCCTATACATTACTTTTGGGTCACAGATCCTTGTGACTTAGTATTTCTTACATATATATGAGGTTATTTTGTCATAAAAAGTAACATTTACACAAAAAAAGTATGTAAATGAAGCAATGTTCACATTTTAAAAGAAACGTATAAATGTGACAAAGCAAGGAAATGCCTTCCATATTCCTCCTGAAAATGAATTTGCAAGATGTGAATTTGCCATATCTGAACACTTTCTCTCAGTGTTTGCTCTTTCTTTGTGTAAGAGTACGTAACAGTACAGCTCCCTGTTTAACAAACTTTATGAATCACTTCAACCTTCAATATTTTTAGATGAGCACTT